GGTCAATGGAAACACAGCTCCAGATGCTGTACTTGATGCTATGTCTGAAGATAGTGCTGGGCAGTATACCGTTTTGTACCGAATACCTGTTTTTATTTTTGTTATGATATGAATTTTTTGAATACCAGACATTCCGGTTTAAATAGCGGAATGTTTYGTCGCGGCCGCCAGTGAACTGTTGTTTCCCGGGCATTTTTCCTTGCTGCACCGCTATGTGCGTTAGCATGCTAATGTTTGGAGCAGCTAGTTGCAGCCGCGGGTGGCGATTCCGCTGCTTATGTTGACTGACATTCAAAAAAACATCCTGTTTTCACCGTCGCTGAATGTATTAAACACCTCTTCAGTGACGTGCAGTTAGATTTAACGTGGTTAGTTAATATGGAGACGTTATGCTGATGGAGACTTAACGTGGTTCTATTGTGAAAAGCCTGCAGGAAGTAGTTCGTAGTGGAGTTAGAATTGACTAGTGTGCAAGGTGAGTCGTGCTGATAAGCTTTAATAAATAACATAAAACAATAAAACCCGATCATAATCTTTTCTTAACCCTCCTCCTTCACGACTGAACCAAAATGCACGACTACTGTCTCCGACCACCAGTCAGAGAAGAACAGACACAGGAGGGAAGCAGAGACACAGACAGAGGTACAGTAAAATAAAAAAAAGTCAATAAGCAGGGTTTGTACATTTTATTATCAGCTGAGCTGTGATGAAAAGAAAAATACCATCAAATAACGTGAAACTGGTGAAAATGTTGAAAATATCGTGATATAAAATTTTGATCATATCGCCCAGCTCTATCTGAAGATAAATAAACTTGGGGGTGTTCTGCAAAAGAGCCCTCTACCCTTATTTTTAAAGAAAGAACTTAATGCTGAGTTCTCTGGGTGATTTGTCAACACTTTTGAACCTCTCATTAATCTGAGTTGAAAGTGGAAGAGTTGTTTAGACTTTGAGCTGGAGGCAAAAAATTGTCATTTCTTGTCAGGTTTTGGCAAAATATGTTTTTTTTTTTGTCTCATCTTGTTCTTGTGAGTTGAGTGTCTCGGCTCACCACAATTGTCTCGTTGCAGTCCTATTATTGACTATTTCTTCAGCAGATGTCTGAAGTGTGACGTGAGCATTAAGATAAATACAGTCAGACGTAGAAACAACTGTTCTGGTGTTCTTATTTTTCTGGGTTTTTTTTGTTTGTTTGTTTCATCTGAAACTTGAGTTAGTGTTAAAGTGTGTGAGACTTCAGTCTCCTTCAAAAAGTCAAAGAAAACATCTTTATATGAAGGAACTTAAAAGCATAATACACATTATTTTACCAATTTTGTCACATAATTGGTATGTTTTCTTTTGAACTGGGCTCAGCCAAAGCAAAACAGGAAGTGACATCAAAGTGGAGCTCTTTAAGAAAAGGTCTTTGTTTATTGTAACAAAACTATTTAAACTGACTTCTTCATCTCTCTGATAGACTCAAAATAATCTAAAGAAGATTCTTTTTGTTGGCTTTTTTAGTAATGCTCTGTTTAGATGCAGACATTCCTCTGATATGTCCTCATGCATCTCAGTAATCCAGGTAAAAAAATCAAAAAGAAAAAAATTGTATAGGTCTTCTGGACGGGTTCTTCTCT